CTTTTTAAATACCAAATTCGTAACAATATATTAACACCAGTTGCATGTTCTTATACCTCGCCATCTAAGCGTATATGAGTTAGATTTTTGCTCTCGTTGTGTTTCTTATATTATTTATTTTTGAGAAGGTTTTTGAATCTGCATTGTTTATATAAGAATATGTTCATGGTTTTTCTTTTTCTTTTTTTTTTTTTTTTTTTGTGTGTGAATACAGTGTTAACATTTTTGAATTTACCAAGTAATGAGGTGGATACCATATAATTTTTTCTAGAAAGAGGTCTTTTACCTGATAGAGTATGCGAAAATGGCCATAACATGAAACTTTATGTTAATGATGAAACCATTTGGAGGTGCAGTGTTAAAATTTGCAAAAAGAAGAGCCTCCATGTTGAAAATTCATTCTGTGGTTCCAGAATATTGGTTGTCAGTGCTCTTGGATTTATGTCTGTTTGGGCAAGGGAGTTGATATCCATGAAATGGTGTCTTGAACAGCTTAATATGTGTAAAAGTGCTGCAGTGAACTGGAATAATTATATGCGATAAAATAATAAGAGTTCTTAAAAATACTCTTAGGAAATGACATGTGAATGTTGTTTTTATTATTAGATACTGTGTTGTTTTTTTTTACATTCGTGGTTCACAAGCTTCGCAAAATTATAGCTGATATCTTGGTGCGAATCTAAAATCATTAAATATGGTTGGGAGTTGCTATAACAAAGAAGTACCCTGGTCATAATAACCCAGGCAACCTCCACAAACTTCGACGTGCATTACTACAGGAATTGGTTCTACTGGCAAACAAGCGATCAATGACACTATTGCCAACTTTTCTTGCCATTGTCAAGCATGCATTTCAGCTAGAGGGTATGATACGTGTTATTAGTGTGATATTTTCATTGCACATTCTTTCAATCCATTTGGTCTTTCATGATGTGATGGTCATAATACATGTGCTTTTGTATGTCTGCTTTATTGTTTGCTGTGTGGTCTAGTAATGCCATATTAACCAACTTCTTGGAACAATTCCGTGCGTATCCATTAAATAGTATTCCATGTTTTGTCCATGTTTTGTCTTTATTGCTTATTATTTTAGCAGGAGTGTATATACATATATACATACAGGATGATTCTAAATTGTTTTTACAAATTAAGAGGGGTAATTGTACTCACCCAGATGAGCAATAATTACCACAGAACATCGGGTCGCATTCCACTCTGAGATTCAGAGAAGAGAAATAATAGAATTCCAACCTTAGCTTACAACATTATTGAGAGAGTGAATGAACAAAACCAAAAGTTGCACATTCGGTTTAATGAAAAACTCACAGAGAGTGCACAAAATGGATAAAACCAAAAACTTGGCTTCGAGTGTATTCAGCCGGACTTGATGCAAACACGAATTCACATCTTTGGTGGCAAGGTCTCAAACTTCGCAAACTATGGGACAATTCATTAATTAATTGTAGGGGGTAAAAACTAAATATCAGTATCAGTAGCAGTTTTTCTCCCCTCCTCAGCTTTATCCTGTTCCCCTGGACTGCTGTACTGGCTCATGTACTGAAAGCCCTTTATGGGACCGAAGTTCGACAGCCCGGAACACAGCACAACTTTTCATGATAATCTCGGCATAACGTAGTTGAGTAGTTGATAATATGCAGCCCTTGATTAGATAATTAACTTGTTGCAGTTGTTTGCGAGGTTGAGTTTTTGCCAACCAAAGATGTGCATTTGAGTGTTTGCCATCAGAGTCTGAGCTCGAATTAACACACTTGAACGCCAAGTTATCGGTTTTATCCGTTTTGTGAAAACTCTGCGAGTTTCTAATTACCGATTGTGCAACTTTTGGTCTCGTTCATTCACTTTCCCAAGGGTGTTGTAAGTTCAGGCTGTAATTTTAATATTCCTCTTTTCTGCCTCTCAGAGTGGAATGTGACCCTCTGTTCTATGGTACAATTATTTCTCATCTGGATGAGTACTGTCACCCGTCTTAATTTGTAAAAACAATTTAGAATCACTCTGTACATATTGCATAGTTAACCATTGGCTTTAGACATTCTTTGAAACATGTCCTGTATGGTATGCGTATATACTTAAGCTGATCTATTCTTTGATTAGAAGCTTGTTAATAGTAATGCTGCATAGTATTAATCTTCTCTGTAAAATATTTATAAATGTGAATGCAAATGTATATTGCAGTGCTATATAAAACACAAAGTAAGCAAAACTTGGAAACTATATTTAATCTGTTGATCAATTATTTTAATTTATTGACATTTTGAAAATAGATATTAAAAAATTTTGCCTTATATGCTGTTCAGTCAATGTTTTTATTAAAAAAATATAAATGCACTTTAAATAAGTCTCGAAACAGTAGGTTTCAATGAAAATGACTTGTTGCTGAATTTTGTTGCTTTGTTAGAAAAGTAAAGCTTAAATTCTTGTTTGCATCTGTGCTGCATTGCCACTTGATTTACTCATATGCAAATTAAAATAAGCTTATATTTAATTTTTTTATTATTATTAAAATTTTTTAGGAAGAAGACGTCTGAAGATTAGAGAACAATTAAAAATCACTCAACATAAGATTTATTTTTGTATGTTCTTGAAAGACTGCAGGATAAATCATCCTGCTTGTCCTTCATATGTACCCCGGCTTCATGATAATACCGTAAAATACTCAATACCTGCATTATTTGCATACCATTATGGAAATCAAGCTTTGCAACTGTTAATTCATGTCTGCATGGTTTGCTTATCTCTTAACTGTAATGGAAGTGGATTTCAGTTACAAGGTAAAAAGCTTTGATTTCTTGAAATTAGTTTTTTCTTTACTTTTATAAACATATTTTTTCATTACATCTAAAAATATACAAATATATAATTGTGTAATTTCTGCCTTTTAAGGTGTTTAAACAATTTTTTGATATTTCTAGTTTTTTTTATCATAGTCTTTTCATTGAACTGTAGTACATGACATAGCAAATAAAAGCTACAAATAAAAGCAAAAAAAAAAAAAGTCTGGTGCATTGTTATTTCCACCAAGCAAAGTCTTTCCATTGAACTGTAGTACATGACTTAGCAAATAAAAGCTTTAAAAGTCTGGTGCACTGTTATTTCCACCAAACAAAAACAGTTCAGCTTCTGAGGGAGAATGTAAAGTCTTTTTTTAACATTAAACCTCTCCTAGATTCATTTTTGGTATTAATGAAAAATTTATGTTTTTAAAATATAGTTGAAATTAATTCTTTATTAATATACATTTAAGAATTTTTTCTTCATAAAAAAATATAATTTTTAATTTAAAGATAAAAGAAAGGTTAAAAAATTTTTATCTTCCGAGTTTAAAAGTTAGTAATATAGAAGTTAAAGGAAAGTAAGAAGTTATCTTTTAATTTTATTTGAAAGCTGTTGACAAGTTCTTTGTATTATTATTTATTGTTCTACATTGTATATTTAAAATTATTATATTTATATTCTGTTTCAGAAGATGTCTTCTTTCGATATAAAATGCTAAGAACACTACTTCAAAGAGAATTTGTCTTTCAGAGACTTACAGATGAAAAGGTACTAATAATTATTATTTGTATCAGATTGTAATAAATAAAAGCTTTCCCTGATCAGTTCTAATGTTGAAAGCTGTTTGTATTATAGTTTTTCAGCTTTGCATTTTATTTTCATTAATGTCATCTGCTCACCAGTTTTTAGTCTCAGGAGTTAAGCAAATGCTTCAGTATAGATTAAATTTCTTAAGGCTTCTTTACATGAAACAACAATGCAAAAGTGCCGGATAGCATCCCTTGTAGATTTATCCTCTGATGGTATTTCACCTACACAGAGTGATTTTGATCTTAATTTGCTTTGAACTACCAAGCCACTCAGAGAAGTGAAAGCAGATGACCCGATTTTTATCCAATAGATCTCCATCTGTCTCACAACAAACATAATAATTTACAAAATTTTAATGCCTTTATTTTGAGGGCTTAATTTTTAAAATAAGTTGTAATAGTAATAATCAACTGGAGGCTTATAAGCAGACTAAAAAGGTGGCACAGATTAAAAATGCAAAATATTAATTTTTTTTTAATTATAAATTAAAAACATAAAATAAATGAAGGAGAAAAGGAAAGCAATCAATTGTAAAATGTGGTGCATATATATATATACATGAACAAAAGTTAAGAAATTTGAAAATTATGATTTTGAACTCTTAAAGATTTACAATATGCTGTAAAATTAATTAAATAATCAAAATATAATGATTAAATCAAAATTTTGATGTTTAACAGTCTAACCAGAAGAAAAGGCACAAGATGCCAATGAAAACAAAACAATTCAGTAATATAACATAATAAAAATATATAGTAAAATGGGAATAAAACAAATGGATGATAATTCTTTGGTCTTTTTCATAGAGCAACTGAAAAATTTTCAACAAAGCCACATTTCTGAATTATATCTAGATGATTATAAGTAAAATGTAATGCCAAATACATTAAATTAATAAAAATAATTTTGTGTGCATTAAGTTATACAGATAAAGAATGCAGTAAAATAAAGTAAATTTTTTAACCCCTTAACTGCCGCGGGCGTATATATACACCTTGCTCAGCCGATGTGTTAACTGCCCCAGATGCGCAGCCGATGCGTTAACTTTGCGAATATTTTTAGGTGTAGCAGCGCAAAGCAATGATAGCAGTTTGGAATGACGTATATATACCCTGGGGCAGTTAACGCATCGGCTGAGCAAGGCGTATAATACGCCCCCGCGGCAGTTAAGGGGTTAATAATCTCAAGATTAAGACACAATAAACGCCGAATAAATACTAATTCAGAAGTCAAACAACAAAAATCAGCGTTATATTTTCAAATTTTCACAGGACTAGTTTCGATGGTTTTACCGAACCACCATCCTCAGCTGCAAAACCGCAATGAACAAGATAGGAAATAATGATTAGATAAGATAAGAAAGCCTGGACAAGAATAAGCAAGTGGCGCCATCTGTTGGTAAACCAGAACTAAAACATATTTCTTTAAAGGCCGAAGGCAAATTAGGATTGGAATTCGGATCGTTAACTAGAACAGAAAGATTTTTATGAATGTGAAATGCCTCTAGAAAATCCAGTTCTCCAATGGAAGATGTTTTTTTAAATAATTTTGGCAGCAGAAAAATTGAAAGTGTGATTTTCAGACCAACAACAACAGAAGACTTCTGTGTTTCCTTTTTTCTAACATATGCTTCATGTTCCTTGACGTGAAATTTTAAGGCTCTCTTAGTTTGGCCAATGTAAATTAAACCACACACACTGGCAAGGAATCCTATAAATACCCCAGGAATTCATATCCGGAATGGGGTCCTTGAGTATGGAACTCAGAATTTTTATTGATGGGAGAATAACAACCCAAAAGTTAAATTCTGCAAAATATGTGCAACTTTATAGCTAATTGATGGAAAGAAGGGAATGACAACAATTTTTTATAACTCCTAAAACAAGAGTGTGCCTTTAGTGTGTTTGAGATGAGAATTTTTTAACTGCTTGATTAATAATGTTGGGTGAAAAGCCCCTGTCAATAGCTATTGCTTTTAAATAATTTAGTTCTTATCATCAGGGCTAGTTTGGAGGAGCAAACTTGAAGAGCATGGAAAACATAGAATAAAATGAAGCTAACTTTTGTTTAGTCGGATGACATGATTTAAGTGTGGTGAAGGCAAACCGATGAAGGTTTACGGTAAACCGTAGTACTGAAGTTCGATGTGTTTTTCGTGTGACCAGAATGTCGAGAAACGGAAGAGAATTGCAAGTCTCAAGTTCAAAAGTGAACTGAATAGCAGGATCAATGGAATTCATTGTTGAAAGAACTTTATTTAAATCATCTTTATTACCTTCAAACAGGGTAAAAGTATCGTCTACGTATAGGAACCATGCCGGGAAGTTTAAAGTTTAAATCAAACATTTTGATTCATAATGCATGTAGATATCAGCTAGGATGGGACTGAGGGGGCTTCCCATGGCTAATCCCTCAGTTTGCTTGTAATATTTATTTTGGAAAACAAAATGTGTTTGTTTCAAACAGAGTGAGTGAGAGAAATTAGCTCATCAATTTCGATGCAAGAGAAATGAAATTCGCGAAGTCTGGTTTCTAGACATCTTAATGCACCCTCCACGGGACATTGGTGAATAATGATTTTACATCAAAAGAAACCATGAGTAAACTACTGGAAGAAATGTTTTTTTAACCTTTTTTACAAACTCTATTGATCTCTTTTTGGTGTACATGTTATTGTCTAATAGAGTTGAAAATCTAGAAACTAAATATTTAGTTAATGCATATGAGGCAGTACCTAAATTTGATACAATACGGCGGAAAGGAGTACCACTTTTGTGAATTTTGTGAAGAGCATATAATCAGGCACAATTCGCAACAGATGGGATAAGCGAATATTTCAAGTTGCTTGAAATAATTTGTGAAGATTTGATCGCAGTTTGTATTTTTGACAGGTCCGAAGATGAAGGATCTTTAGGGATCGGATTATATGGTCCTTCGTTTAAGAGTTTAGTGACACCATCGATGTAACTGTTCTTATCCATGACGACTATTTGGCCAACCTTTGTCGGCCTTTGAAATGATAATATCCGGGTTAGAATGAATTTCGCGCATTGTAGCTCTTTCTCTCGCATTTAGATTTGGTTTCAAAGGTTTATTATTGAATTTCACATTATGAGCGATAAGATGCCTAATCATTTCTTTCTGTGAATCTGAAACTTTACTGAATTTTTTAATCAAGCTTTTAAAAAATTCTCATCTCAACACACTAAAAGGCACACTCTTGTTTTAGGAGATTATAAAAATTCTGTTATCATTCCCTTCTTTCCATCAATTAGCTATAAAGTTGCACATATTTTGCAGAACTTTAACTTTTGGGTTGTTTATTCTCCCATCAATAAAATTCCGAGTTCCATACTCAAGTACCCCATTCCGGATATGAATTCCTGGGGTATTTATAGGATTGCTTGCCAGTGTGGTTTAATTTACATTGGCCAAACTAAGAGAGCCTTAAAATTTCACGTCAAGGAACATGAGGCATATGTTAGAAAAAAGGAAACACAGAAGTCTTCTGTTGCTCAACATTGTTGGTCCGAAAATCACACTTTCAATTTTTCTGCTGCCAAAATTATTCAAAAAACATCTTCCATTGGAGAACTGGATTTTTCTAGAGGCATTTCACATTCATAAAAATCTTTCTGTTCTAGTTAACGATCCTAATTCCAATCCATATTTGCCTTCGGCCTTTAAAGAAATTATGTTTTCGTTCTGGTTTCACCAACAGAGGGCGCCACTTACTTATTCTTGTCCAGGCTTTCTTATCTTATCTAGTCATTATTTCCTATCTTGTTCATTTGCGGTTTTGCAGCTGAGGATTGTGGTTCGGTAAAACCATCGAAACTAGTCCTGTGAAAACTTTGTAAATATAACGCTGATTTTTGTTGTTTGACTTCTGAATTAGAATCATCAAGATATTATCTAATCTGACATGATCTAAAGTTATATATAATATGTTAATGAATCGTTATATATAATACATCTGACTGGAAAGAAAGACTACTGATGTTAAGCATTGAATCGAGTTGTGTAGTAGGATGGTACTTTGACAAAATGAAAGATAAAAATTTAAGTAGTGAGTTTAGTTGTAAAAAAATTGGCTAAAAAATTGAAATGGTAGATGGTGTAAACACTGTGATAAAATTTAAAAAAATAATTTTAAAAAAATTTTAACTTTGTGAAAAATTAAGTTTTTAAATGTTTCAAATATTTTTATAAAAATTTTATTAAAATAGATTTTTAAAAAATTGTAAACAAAAGTATTTTAATTGTGTGGGAAAATGGAGTGAGATAAATTCTGATGACCTCAGAGATCACATAACTACACAAGATCATTCTTCCTCTTATATTGCAGAATGTATCTCATTAATCTTGAATTTAATAATTTAAAACTATTTTTGTAATGCATCTAGTAAATCTTCAAATTTAAATATTTTCTATCATAAGTAACAAGGGATAAAAGTTACACATTTAATTTATAATCCCAAATAAATTTTGCATTATAAATTGAAGTTTATTATCATGTAGACAGATCTTTAAATGGAAACTTAATAATTCTGTAGAGATCCATGTGAATATCAAATATCTTCCATAACTTTTCACTTGAAATGTATTTTGATTTTTTAAAGAAAAAATTGAATTTTTATCTTAACATTAGAAGTGGCAAGACTTTTATGTGCATATTATGAAAGCTATGAAGTATTATTTCTTGCTCTTTCAATTTTCTTTGTTCATCGAGACTAGTGTAATTAATTGCAATTATTTAATGTAAAAGTTTTAAATGTGATTTTGTAACTAATAAATAGCATAGTGGACTAATATATCTATTATATGAACTCATGTTGATTAATTATTACTATCAAGTAAGCTGTTCTATGCAGCATTTATAGTGGTGTTTAATATTCCTAATTTAGGAAATGTCTGTGGGTTTTCCTTTGCGGCTGAATATATTGATGTTTTATACTCTATTTGAATTATATGTAATGTGGTGTACTTTTATATACATTAAGCCAGTGGTACTATTTATTCTCTCTCTTTGTAGGATTTTATACATGCTCTTCAGTCTCTGAAAGAAGAAAATATCTTAACTGTGGATGAATCTAAACTTATACCTTCCAATTCTGCTACTGAAAAATTTGAATTTTTGAGTTCTTTGCTCATACCTTTCCTCGAAAGCTATTACGTATGTCTTCAACTATTTTAGTAATAAACATAAGTATTATCATTATGTACATTTTAAGTAATATAATTTTCTGAAATAGTTATCTTAAGGAAACTCAAAACTATAAAAATTTATGTAAACTATAATTGCATGTATGGAATTATCATATTTCAGAGCAGTGATTGCAGAGTAAGAAATGGTTTTGTTGGAAAAAAAAAAAAAAAAAAAACTTAAGTGAAAAGCAAACATTTCTTTGAAAAGTTTGAAGTAAGTTTAAATGAAACGACCACTTCTTGTAATGTTTAAAATGGCTTTTCAGTATAATGGTAGGGAAATTTTATAAACATGAGGATGAAATAGAACGGACAAATTGAATTTTGTCACCCTTTTAAGTATGATTATAAAAATTTTTGCAAGGAAAAAAATTAAAATGTGCTTATTTTTTAACATACAATAAACAATATTGTTTTTCTTAGCCAGTGTCTACACACACAAACACACACACACACACACACAAAAAAAAAAAAAGCATACTTAATACTTTTTGTAGCCTTTAGATCACATGTCTTTGCATTTATTTTCTTTGCTTTTTTCCATAGACAAAATTGCCAAAGAATTCAATCTGTTTTGAGACATGGATGACCATGAGTATGTTTTTGTAAACTTCAGGTAACTAAAACTTGTATCGCCTATAGCCACAGTAATAGATATTGTAAGCATTATTCTTAATGCAACCCATAGATTTGGCATGATGTCTTGTAACTTCCATGTAATTATGAACCTAACAAGTTTCTGTTCTAAGCTTTATATCTTCAATAAATAATTCTTTGGCTATATCTAGCTCAGTCAAGATATCAGGCCCATTAATATCATTATTTTCCTGATGTCTTAACTTACTTTCCAAAACTTGACATACTACTATGAAGATTTTTAAAGCCATTTAAAAATCTCAACATATTACTGAAGCTTTATAAATCTCTTTGATAAAAATTTAGTAGATATGTCCAGTATTACATTGAACACATAATTTTCAAATCTTTTTCCGGGGGGTGGGCAATAAAAATGCTATTGCTCAGAATGTCAGAAGCTAAAACTGAGTAACAGACAGAAAAGTGTTAAAAACGTCAGATTGAGAAATATTTATTGTATTATTTTAACTTTTTTTTGGGGAGGGGACAAAATTTTTGATGGCACCCCGTGAAACTGCCTGTGTCAGCAGTACCTTAAGCAGTCACTGTCTAGTGGGTTGATAACCTTAGATCTCTTGAGTGTTGCTGTATGCCCGATTGCATTTTGCAATTAAGCTTAAAATAATTTCTGTAAAATCTGTTTTTAATAAAAGTATTTGGATTTTTATATGTATTATTTGAATGTCATTTTCAATAATATAAACAAAATCCTAATATTAAGAATTAAAATTACAAAAGTAAAAAAAGAATTATGTTAAATGAAAAGTGTAGGGAAAAAATTATATTAAAGTGCTATATAGTAAAAATGACTTTATATTTACATTTTAATAATTGTTTCTACTTAGTAATGAAGTAGCAAACTTAAGTTCAGTATTAGTACCTACTATTACATTTTAGTGCCATACTTATATGCATAATTTAAAGTTCCTTGCACAGTTGAAACATTTTTAAGTTTTGAATGCATATTATAAGCATTTTGTATTTTGCAGATATAGATTTAATTTGTATAATAAACTTAACATTAAAGGTATTCCATTCAGATAAGTTTCATGCTATTCTGCCATTGTCTATGTGCTTTTTAATGAAAATTCTGCTTCAACATATCAAATATGATATAGTGGGCTGCCAGCGATATTTCACTCCCATAATCACATTTGGTACGGTGGGCCCACAGAGGTTATCTGAAGATACATGGTGAACCAAAGGTCCTCTGTAGAGGTTGGTGGTAGGGAAGAGGAGTGGGAGATCCTTGGAATGCTCACCACTTTTTTTTTTTCCCACTCTCTGCTGTCTAAACACTATAGCAGTTGGTGATATTGACTGCCATAACAATATGCCCAGGTTTGAATCTCAGAATGGGCATGGTAATATCTGTAAGCATATAGTGTCTGTGCAACAAGGGACACTCAAAATACACGGTGAGCAGAAAGTCCTCTCAAGTGGTTAGTGGTGACTCTCAGACCCTCCCTTATCCTGAGGTGGTCCCTTAAAACTGGAGTGGAGCTTCGCACTTAGTCTGGTGGCACTATGCTTATGCAACCTATGGTGAAATTTGGCTGTCCTGCCTACGTACACCTGTAACTGTGATTTCTTCCTTTGAATTCCAATTAGAGAGGAAGCTTAGCAGTTGGCGAGGCCTATTATATCTATATGGATGTACATTGCGGGGGTGGGCAGTTCTATATTTGTCATTCTACTGGGCCAATTGATGAAATTCGCATTGCGTTTTCCATGTCTCGGAAGTGCAACTTAGGATATATATTAGATTTATATATAACGTTTTAACATAGGTATTTAAAAAAAAAACGTAAGCCTATATATTAAATTATGCCTAAATATTAAATTTTGTGAAATTTGGTGCAAAATTTATGGAGAAATTAAAAAAAATTTCTTGGCCCATTTTTTTTTCAGTTTCGCCAAGAATAATTCACTTGGCGAACTTCTTATTTCATAGCAACTTATTTCCCTTTCCTTTTTTGCATTGTACACGAGCGGGAAAAAAGTCATCGTTCAAACTTTCAAATAATTTTAAGTGCTTAAACCACATTTGGCATTATTATCGCTTATAACAAATATGCCAGATTTCAAAACGCTCCAATATGTAAATTCACATATATCCTAGGAAATTTTGAATAAAAAAATCTAATTTTTTGCAGGTATGCTAAGAAATATATCTACTTTAAAATGATTGTAAAAGTTTTATAGGTTATAATTCAAAATTTTTTTCGAAAAATTTATAAAATTTTTTTTAAATATGAATTTTAAAAATAAAACATAAAAAATGGGTGAATTTTATTTGGAGTGAACCTAAATTTCAAAAATATGAAAGGTAGAATCAAATAAATTTAATAAAAAAGAGATATTAATAAATATATACAAGATTCAATTAACATGGATGAGCTAAAATTTTGAAAACTAATTTTCTAAAAACTACTCATGCGATTTTTTACAAAACTTGGCAGTTTCACATGATTTGAGTCATAGAATTGAAATATGGAAAAAACTGATATGTTGTTTTAGAAAAAGTGTGATTTTATTTCAAAATACCTATATTAGAACAATGCTATATATAAATCTAATACATATCCTAAGTTGTTTTCCCCCATGTGTAATGTGTGTACGAGCCAGTTTCCCTTAGAAAGTCCTCCACGAAGGCATCCCTCCCCTTAGGCAGATAGCCCTCAAGGCTTTGCCATAATTAAATATCCTAACCTTACCTAACCATATCCTAAGTTGCGCTTTCAAGACATGAAAACACAATTTGAATTTTGTCAGTCGGCCCAGTAGAATGGAAAAGGAACTGTCCCCTCCTTTTTTTTGCACAGTGTACAGTTGCTTGGCTTTTAAACCATCTATTATGGTACATAAAAATTATTTTTATCTTCATTTTGTGCAATGCGTATGCATCTGTAATGGCATAAAATGTAAACAATTAGTTTGAAAGTATCTCATATTTAAATAATGATAAATGTTTGCTTTGCATATTATTGTATTATCATTTTGGGCAACAGTTTTTATGTTCAGAATCTAATTTGTTAAAATAACAGAAGATGAGTTTTGACTACTGAGTTGGTGAATAAAAATTGTATTTGGTGTTTATATATTATTTATTTATTTATTTATTTTTGTAGTTCAGTCAAACATCCTTGAAATATTAAAATTCTGTCTGCGTCTTATTATGTTATATCAACTGAGGATTTATAACAGGTGTACTTATATTTCGTGACCCAACAGCAATTCGACTTGTTTATTTAACATGACTACGGAAAATGTAACAGAAGCAATTACTCTCTCTCTCTATGTATATATATATATATGTGGCTATATAGATGGTATAGTGCTTAGCGAAGCTGACTGGCACCGTTCTGCCATATTTAAATCTTGAAGAAGGCGTGGTAGTTTGTAAGCATATACAGTCAAAAGTCGTTAATTCGGACACCCATAATCCGGAATGATCTATAATCCGGACCTCAAAGCTAAAAACTTTCTGCGCGTACGCCACGTTGACACATGCGCATAGACGTTTACGCGTGCACGTAAGACCTTTTACGACTGCGCATATGCATGTGCGCAAGCACAGAAAACGTTTTCGCGTGTGCGTTTTATGTATAACGTACATATAAGCTAAAATTATCTAATTACAATCAAAAGTCGTTAATCCGGACTCTTCGGGACTTCGGCAATTCCGGATTATAGATCATCAGTTTAAATCTGGTAAGATGGCATGCAGAAATTATAAAGTTAAAAATATGAAACCGTAATTTATGAAATAAAGAACAATTATGATCTAAAGGGTATCAAATTTTACAAAAAAAAAAAAAAAAAGCTTAATATTTATTTGTTTACTTTAGTAAACATTTCTTTCAATGTAAGTTGTTTAAGTTGCTTCGTTTTTTATGTGATAATACATTCTCTTTAATTCTATAAACAGACATAATTTCTTGTTCAGTTACAAGTTCCGCTGTTCAAGTCCTATAATTGCTGTGTCCAAGAATACCGACTAATTTGTCAATCGAAATTTTTTTCGTTTTCAATAACCTCTGTTACTTTCTTCACTATTGGAAGCGAATTATAATGACGAGGAATTTGATTTAAATCATATAAAAGATGGAGTACATCGAGATGAAATACTGCATTTAGTAAGGAATTAATTATAATCTCGCTGTGGGGTTAAAGATAAACAAAGTTTAGATAAACAAAGGATATGCCTTTATCCATTTTTTGCAGCAATTCCACTTTTTGTTTAATGGACTTCGAAACATACTTTCGCTTTGTAGATCCTTTACATATTAGTAAATATATATAAGAAATTCTATTTGACATAATCGAAAGTTCAAGCTTACTTTTATAAAAATTGCTCTAACAGTCTGCAAAAAATAATAAGCCGGATCCAATTCGAAGATTAAGGAACTACGCAATCTGCAACATTAACTGAATTAGATAATTTTAGCTTAACTTATACTGTCTGTTATACATTAAACATGCATTCGTAAACGTATTTTGCGCACGCGCACAAGCGTATTCGCAGCCGTAAAGGTCTTACATGCATGCGTTGATTGGATGCATGCGCAGAAATTTTGTAGCTTTGAGGTCCGGATTATAGATCATTCCAGATTATGGGTGTCCGAATTAACGACTTTTGACTGTATCTATTTCAGTTAATGTTGATGATTGCGTTGTTCCTTAATCTTCGAATTGGATCCGGCTTATTATTTTTTGCAGACTGTAAGAGCAATTTTATAAAAGTAAACTTGAATTTTCGATTATGTCAAATAGAATTTCCGATTCTGGAGCTCCCAAAGGATCGTACAAAACGAAAGTATGTTTCGATGTCCATCAAACAAAAAGTGGAATTGCTGCAAAAAATGGATAAAGACATGAAGAATGTGACAGAGAGGTTAGTGAAAACGAAAAAAATTTCGATTGACAAGTTAGTCGGTATTCTCGGCACAGCAATTAAGGGACTTGAACAGCGGAACTTTGTAACTGAACAAGAAATTATGTCTGTTTATAGAATTAAAGAGAAAGTATTATCACATAAAACGAAGCAACTTAAACAACTTACATTGAAAGAAATGTTTAATAAAGTAAACAAATAAATATTAAGCTTTTTTTTTTTTTTTTTTTTTTTGTAAATTTTGATACCCTTTAGATCATAATTGTTCTTTATTTCATAAATTACGGTTTCATATTTTTAATTTTAGAATTTCTGCATGCTATCTTACGAGATTTAAACTGATGATCTATAATCCGGAAAATCGATAATCCGGAATCGCCGAAGTCCCGACGAGTCCGGATTAACGACTTTTGACTGTAGTGTCAGTATGGCAAGGGCCACTCAAAATACACGGTGAGCCAAAATTCCTTAGAAGAAGTTGGTAGTAGGATAAGAGAGGTGGAAGACCCTTAGATTGTCCCCGTGGGTAATTCTGTTCAAAATTTGGGCAGAAGCTTTACAGTTAACAAGGCCAGGTGATATGTAATGTATACCTACAGGAAAGCAAAGGTAGTGGCTTTTTCTTCAACCTGTACCTGAAAGTATGTGTGTGCAGAAAAGTAATTATTTTGGTAGATAATTGTTTCTAAAATTTGCATTTATGATGATTATCTTCTTTGTACTTTCATCTGCAATTTTTTTCTTTTACAGAAATAAAATATTTTACTTTTCATATTTAAAATTTTTCATATAATATGAAACAGAAATCCCTATTTGTTGTACTGGTTATTTTCTGTACTTATAATTGACTGAATTTTTTTTATTAACTTAGATTATCTGCCAACAATTAGCTGTAAGGGGAAATGAAGTTTTACCAGATTGTAAGAAGTTGTCTCTAGAGTGCCAAGCATACATCGAAAGTGCTATTTTTGAAGGCGCTTTATCAGATTATCGGTGTCTGTCTTTGGATATTGTGAATAATTGCATAGCATTTCTAGTCAGTCAAGGTGCCCTTAGTAAAGTCCACGAGTAAGTGTTACAAATCTTTTCTGTTTTGAACTCACTACAGCTAAGTAGATTTTATTTCTGGTAACCATATTATGAAATTAAACTTTCCTGAGCTAAACATAGTTAAATAGACCAGTTCAGTTTTATTAAAAATTTATTGCTGTTACAGTGTCACTGAAATCTGTGATACTAATTTCCAGAAAGTTTTCTTTTCTTTCTTCTTAGCAGACTAATTAAAAGATTTAGGCAGATTTCTTGTCTTCATTAATTAAACAATAAACCTTGAACACATTACAGGTAGCCTTCAATTTACATGGTGGATTGATTTTCCGAAAATGCCATGTAAATTGAAATTTTGCTATTTGAGTCCACAGTTCATATTGAAAAGAAATACTCGTGTAATAAATTTAACAAATCTATATGAAACAGTATTTATTTTTCTGTAAAATAAAAAGGTATATACATTGTGCAAAAATAAAGGAGGGGACAGTTCTCCATTCTACTGGGCCGATTGACAAAATTCAAATTGCGTTTTTCATGTCTCGAAAGTGCGACGTAGGATATATATTAGATTTATATATAGCATTATTCTAGCTTAGGTATTTTGACACAAAATCAGACTTTTCCTGAAATAACCTACCAATTTTTTTCATATTTCGATTCTACAACTCAAATTATGCCTAAATATTAAATTTTGTAAAATTTGATGGGAAATTTACAGAGAAATTCAAAAATTTATCTTGCGCAATTTTTTCAGTTTGCTAATAAGAATAATTCACTTGGCAAACTTCTTAATATATGGCAACCAATATTCCTTTCCCTTTCATTATGCCGGAGCAGAAAAAAAGACACCTCGTTCTTACCTTTTTACATTGTGCATGAGCGGGAAAAAAAGGTCACATCGTTCTTACTTTCAAATAATTTTAGCTAAGTGTCTAAACCACATTTGATGTTTTATTGCTTTCAACAAATATGCCAAATTTCAAAATGTGCCAATATATAAATTCACATATATCTTTGGAAATTTTGAATAAAAAAACTAATTTTTTGCAGATATGCTTAGAAATACATCTACTTTAAGATGACGGTAAAAATTTTATAGGTTATAATTCAAAATTTTTTTTGAAAAATTTATAAAAATTATTTAAAAATGCAAATTTAAAAAATTAATCATAAAAAACGGATGAATTTTATTTAGAATGAACCTGAATTTTGAAATGTGAAAGGAAGAATCAAGTAAGTTTAATAAAAAAAAAGAGAGATTAATAAATATATACCAAACTCAATTAACATTGAGGAGCTAATTTTTTAAAAAACCACTCATGTGATTTTTACGAAAGTTTGGCGCAATTTGAGTCGTAGAATTCAAATATAGAAAAGAATTGGTATATTATTTCAGAAAAGGCCTGATTTTGTGTCAAAATACCCATATTAGATCACTGATATATATAAATCTAATATATATCCTAAGTCGCGCTTTTGAGACATGAAAAACGCAAGTTGAATTTGTCAATCAACCCAGTAGAAAGGAGATCTAGAACGCTTCCCCTTTTTTTGTGTGCAGTTTACATACACATTTTAAAATAAAAATGCATTAATTAAATTAAATTTAATGCATCTATACAGAGCATACTTAAAAAATTAAAAATGTTTTTATACTGTGTCATCTTCACTTGTTAATAATGTGGCAGCCCTTCTTCATGGTATATCTAAACTACTGCTAATTTGCTCAGTGTTTAGGGCTTTTTTTCTAATTCATTTCCTTGAGATATGTCAAGATGAAGCCAATCAATTTTGCAATTATCTTCTAAATTTTAAACTTTTTGCCACGTTTAGATTATTTTCTACAAAGAAATTTTCCAGTTCTTTAACTACTGCAAGTCCTTTATCTATAGTACTTAACAGTTAAGTATTGGAACTTCTTCATCATCATCTGTTTCAGATTTGCCAGATGTGGAATCAACGAGTTCATTTTAATCTATAGCATTAAATCCTTCTCCTCCTGCTTGATGTGCCAATCTTTTAATATCAGAATATTCATTCTGTAAGGTGGTGTGTGATATTCACTTAAAATCACATCTGGCCAGATATTCATTCACCATAATCACATCTGGCTACCACCAGCAGACATTTTTGATTTCTAACTTGATTTTTTCAGTCTGCAATAGAATATTTTATCAAATGTGACTAACACTAGGTATATTGTCTGTATCTTATTATCAAAAATCTTTTTGAAAATATGTTTCTTCAAGTATTAGGCATTGAAAGTTGAAATAATACAGTGGTCAAGCAGTCAGTCTAGTGATGTTGTATTTGGTGGTAAACATGCAAATTTCACATTATCATGATGTAAATCTATTGGATGTTCGGGTGTGTTATCAATAATTAAATTACTTTAAAGTACTTTCCCCCCCTCATATATAAAGTTCACCATTGGAAGTAAAATAATTGTAAAACAAGTTTCAAAATATTGCATCTGTGACCCAAGGTTTTTTAATAGCATTCCAATACACAAGGAGATTGCTTTCATTCAAGCCTTTCATTGTTCTTGAGTTTAAGAAATTATTAATATGCATAGGTTTTATTAGGCAAACACCTGAAACATTGTTACATAAAAGAACAGATATAATTTCCTTTGAAACCTTAAATTTTGCATCTGATCTTTTATTTTGAGACAGGTATGTTCTGCATTGCAATTTTTTTTTAAAGAAAAGCTTTGTTGATCAAAGTATAAGAATTTTCTCCAATTATTTTGCATAGCTCTTTTGAGTATTCTTTAACTGCCTTATCATCCATTGAGGCCATTGCTCCTGTTATTTTTATGTTATATGAGGAAAATCTCTTTTTAAATTTCATGAACCATCCTTTGCTCCCTGAAAACTCTGTTGGTTTGAAATTAATGGTTGTTTTAGTCTTCATGCTATTAAAACTTTTATTTGCTGTAGTCCTTATATCATTATTATCAATAGGCATTTTCTTTTGGATATTATCTTCTATCCAAATAATTCATGCTTTTCCCATTAATTCCATACTTGAGTCTCTGATGTAAGAAGTGCGATTTAAATTTATAGAAGATCCATGTATTACATTTGGACTATCTGACTAATTAAAAAAATTAAATATGTTTTGATTGTTACTTCATGTATTTCGAAATGTTTTGCCACCAAAGTTGAACATTCTGCAGTTGTTAATCTGTTTACTATTTTAAACTTTGTTTCCAAAGTAATTATCTTTCCCTTTAAGCCTTATTTCCTATGGACCATTATAAAGACTAGAATGGGCCAAACACCTAATTGTAATTTCACAATAGGAGAATCAAAATTCATACCGCTTTATGTTTATGTAACTTACACAAGAATTTATGTAACTATACTCTTAAATCTGAAAGCATACTGAGGCTGTATGCATTTCTAAACTACAAGTATAGATCATGGCATCTCAATATGCACTTATGTATGATGAGTGATATCATTTCTTCATATATAAGCAGCATGTATGTGTATTTATCTATATATATGCATGAAACGCAAGATTAATTAAAGTGGAAACAAAGTACAATTCTTCAGAGCTTGAATTTTCTTTCACTTTCACGTTTACAACTGTAACCATGTACAATGTACCATGTAATACTTTCTTTTTCTTTCTGTGCTTTTTTGTTTTTAGCTTCCTTTATACTAAAGCGGTTTTGAGAAATATTTGTTCTTTTAATATCTATTTGGTGATTGTATTATTATAAAATATATATGTATAATTTTTACATTTGTCTGCATCAACCATTTTAAAGTGAAATTCAAGGTCGTATAAATGAAAGCACTTCCACTTGTCAACTATATTAAAATGAAATCAAATGCAGCATAATTAATTAATAATTATGCAGCATTTTATTAATTAATTATGGCCTACATAATTATAAAGTATTGCATTATACCATAACTTTTTGAACTTCAGAATGCTTAATTATATCAATCTAATTCTTAATTATTTAAATTTGTAGGATGTAAGCCATCTTATGTATGTAATAGCAGGGTTCGTAAAAGAGAAAAAATTATCCTTCAAAGCACACTGCCAAAAAAAAAAAAAAGGAACAGTTCTATATCTCACGTTCTACTGTGCTGCTTGATGATATTCAAATTGCGTTATTCATGTTTCAAAAGCACGACTTAGGATATATGTTAGATTTATATATAGCATTGTTCTAATATAGGTATTTTGACACAAAATGGGACTTTTTCTGAAATTGTGCTTAAATATTAAATTTTGTAAAATTTAGTGTGAGATTTATTGAGAAATTTAAAAATGTATCTTGGTGCTTTCTCTCTCTCTCTCTCTTTTTTTTTTTTTTTTTTTTTTTAAAGTTTGCGCCAAGTTGGCGAACTTCTTACTTTATGGCAGCCTATTTTCGTTTCCTTTTTTTCATTGTAAACGAGCAGAAAAAAAGTTATGGTTCAATATTTTAAATAATTTTAAGAAAGTGTGTAAACCACATATGCTGTTATTGTTGCTTATAACATGTATGCCAAATTTTAAAATGTGCCAATGTGTAAATTCACGTATATCTTAGAAAATTTTGAATAAAGAACTCTAATTTTTTTGTAGGTTTGCCTACAAATACATCTACTTTAGGATGTTAAAAATTTTATTATAATGCAAATTTTTTTTTTTAAATTTGTAAAATATATTTAAAAATAAATCATAAAAAGTGCACAAATTATATTTGGATTAATCCTAAATTTTGAATTCTGGAAGAAGAAATCAAGTAAGTTTAATTAAAAAATAAGGAGAGATTTTTAATATATATATATATCGAATTCAATTAACATTGAGGAGCTAAAATTTTGAGAGCTAATTTTTTAAAAACTACTCGTGTGATTTTTAGAAAACTTGGCACTTTGCTATAATTTGAGTCACAGAATCAAAATGTGGGAAAAAAATTGGTATGTTATTTGAGAAAAAGTGCGATTTCATGTCATACTATCTATATTAAAACAATGCTGTATGTATAAATCTAATAGATATCCTAA